AAAAAAAAAAAAAAAAAAAAAAAGAAAATAGTAAACCCATTTTGGAACATCATATAAAGTGATGCTGGGACTTATGCTGAGCACCTTAGCTTTCTGCTGAAGTGAAGGGATAAAAAAGCACAGAACAGAAACCGTATTTTGTACAATAAATATTACGCATACGTATACAGGTCTATCTCAGCAGGTTTCGTTCCTGTCCCTCTGGTGAATTTATTTAAGAATAGTCAATGCTCTTTTGTTGTCAGGTAACATGAAAAGCTGAGCTTAAAAAAAAAAAAAAAAAGTCACATTTCTCCTTTTGTTTGTTTGTTTATTAATCAAAAATGTGGTGAATTTATGTCAGTGCTGCTCCCCCTTCAATGAAGCACTTGACAGAGGTCTGTGAGGCTTGTGATCCAACACCCGCAAGGGCAAGTGCCCTCCTGCCTTCTCTACTCATCTACTCCTGTTTTTTATCTCTGCCTTTTTTGCCATGGTTTAAGAAAGGATGTAAATAAGAAAAGTCATAAATACTTAATAGCACAAGTATCTAAGTATTTATTACACACAACACACCCCATCTGTTTGAGAATAGTTAATGCTAAATGAATGAAGTTATTGTTTTCTTGTGAAATGAAAGCCGCCTTTTGTCACTAGACATGATATGCTTACGATACATACCTTTTTATCTGAATTGTGAAGCTCAGCTGTCTCTACAGATGTCCTATAGCAGTATGGTAGTAGTAGCAGTTAATGGTAATAATAATAAACAACCAATAATCCTTCTAGACAGATGAGGGGCATCTAAGCTGCTTTTGAATAGACACCTACCTCCAAACCTTCCCAACCAGCTATCTACCTTCTCATCACACCTCCAAAAGCCGAAACTCCAGCAAGCTATTGACAAATTTCTAATTCAGGTCACTTATCATATTCAGTCAGTTGTAAGTGTTGAAGCAGATTATGTTAAAAAAAAAAAAAAAAAAAAAAAAAAAAAAAAGAAGCAACTGCTCTTCCTCCTCTCTTCCCTCCCTCTTGCATACATTGAGTAAGAACGAGAGAAAAGCTGTCAGCAGCAAAGTCACTGCAAATTCTCCCATGGCTCCGTCACTCCCGAGCTCAGGAGCAACTGGCACTGCCCCAGCCAGCCAAGGATTTCTCAGTGAAAGTCGTGTAACCTCTGTGTCTCATTTCCAGTGATGGAACTGATAATAATTGTCAACCCCTCTCGGGGAGTTCACGACAATACATTTATCCTCCTTTGTAAGGAGTTCTCACATCAGATGGAAGATGCTACAGACACACGAAGCACGACTATTTATTTTTAATAAGACATGGCACAAACAAGCAATGGCAGCTTCGTTAATATGTATTTCATCACTGCGAGTGGTATTTTCCTTCGGAGGGAACAAATTGTATAGGCTGATCTGCTCATACAGAAACGTTAAGTCAGAGAGATTAGTCTTCTGTATTCAGTTGCCACTTTATAAACTGAAAATTACTAAAACAGAAAGCACAGCCAAAAAGCCAAATTGTGCACTTTTATGGTTCACCAAAAAAACCCCCAGTGAACATGAGACAAGGTATATTTTATATGCAACAGCTCATTAATTTTAAGTGTCGTGGGAACCCTGCCAGTTTTACCCTCTGAGTAATTATCTTTTGTCTTAATTTGTAAGATTCTTGAAAAGGGAAGAGAGAAATGGGAGAGAAAAAATGTTCAGTCTCACAGGAAAAGCTTAAAAAGCTTAAAGCCTGAAAACACAATAAAAAGGGAGAAAACGTAGATGCAAAACAGTCCTAGTCAAGCTGTCTCTACTTAAACAGTAGATGGTATCAGTTTCTATAAAATCAGAGTTTGTTTCTTCCAACACCTAGAATATTGTTATATCCAGCTAGATAGGTATAAAAGCCTTTCTGCAGTAATAAGTTCTGCAAAATTTACAGACATGTTATGTGAACAAGTATTAAAATGATAATTTGATTAATTACAAAACACTATCACAAGCCAAGCATTTAAAAGGAAAAAGAAAATCCCCTGGACTTGCTAGTAAGACCGTTCAGTGAGAAGCTGAAATCACCAGAAAAGACCAAAAAGCCCCTCAAGAAATCTCACTGTTGAAGAATAACTGATAATAAGACAGAAACACACGCTTCTCAAAGGAAAGAAAAACAATAAACCCTCTCCAAAACCAAAACTCAGCATTAAATACTGAGACCAAATATGATTTAACAATAAAATGATTACTCATTCTTTTGTGTCTTCTTATGTAGCAAATTACATTCTCCTTCATGTCTGCCAGCTCTTTAATATTTCTGAGGCATTCAGAAAAGCAGAAAAGGTGTACCTTATGCTTTACTAAGCCCAGATATAGGTATGTATCGGCTATAGTCTCCCATCCTAGAGATTACTCTGATACACACAATATCCAATGTTCTGCTCCCATTTTTGTTTTGGGTTTTTTTTCTCATGCAAGTGTAGTCAATAAAGGTTTCATCTTTGAGGCAATAATTTCATTTAAAAAACCCCAGAAAGACAGAAGAAAAAGCCCAACCCACACGGAGTGGTGAAACTCATATTATTAAAGCAGAAATCTTCTGTAGTCTTGAATTATGATTATTTTATGCTACTTTAACCAGCTCTACATTTCCAGAACAGCTTTTAGTTAAAGGTAAGAGCACTAACAAATAATTAGAAGTGCAAGTAAATTATTGGTGTTCAGACACTTCAAGCAGAATAAATGGATATCCTTTTATCCATATGTATCTGAATGCTCGTTCTCAAAATGCCATGTCCTCCAAAGCAATTATTATTATTATTAAGCTGAAACAATAAGGGTCCCAGTGTGAAATACTTGTGGGTCTTCTGGTTAGCAGTGATGATCAAACGCAAAGAAACTGAACCACTACATTCAAAACTCGCATGCACTGGGGGTTTTTAAACCACTGATATAATTTATGGCAGCAGAGCAAAACCTTATGGCAGGCGTGATCCCCACGGAAGCGTCACAGTGCTCTCTGCATCGGGAGAACTGGACCCCGGGCACCAATATTCACCCAGGATCCCATACAGGGACTTTGGGGTATCTCATTTGAAACGGTGATAAAGAATCCCTACGCAAACTGTGTAAATTGTGCATGTACTAGGTGCAGCTACAATAATGGCTAAAAAAATTTTTGATCAAGTAAAGCCACAGATGTGCTCAATTACTACAGATTAACTAAGCATTTACTACAAGAATTGACACCATAGTGAGCTATAAACATTTATTGTGTTTTCAGCAATTTTCTGAAGTATTCCTACAAATTAATTTGCATGCAAATATTTTATAGGATACATCCAGCCAGTCATTCAGAAGCCAATTTATAGTATATACAATAATCAGGATTTTACTGTGGAAGCAGCAGAATTACTGGACTGGGTTCAGCCAACTGCTGACTCCATGGGCAAAGCTTTCTCTCCCAAGCCCTCCTGGAGATTATTCCTGCATTAGATATGCTTTATACTTGAGATAACGGGGGAGTCTGTTGCAGGGACAGTAGAGTACTGATGCATGAACCCTCTTGCTTTATGCCAGTGTCTGGAGGATAAAGGTATGGACCATATATGTACACACATGCTGCCTGTTGCAGAGCTCGTGCTGTGTAAAGCAAGTGACTCTGCATTCAAGAAACTATCCAAAACAAAGAGGGAAGTTAAGAGTGAAAGGGAGAAGTTTTGTTTTTAGAAGGAGAAAAGGGAGCCTTGCCAATGTTGTGAACCCAAGCCAGCTATTCCAATGCAAACCTCATGTTGTTACATAGATCATGTTTGGGAAGAGATGTAATATTAATCAACTTTCTGGCATTAAGTATCCGTTACTGTACAAAAACATTCTTGCTCTGGCTTTAATTCAGTTTTAAGTCACTGTGAAAACATTTATGTGGCTCTCAAACTGCCTTAAAGGGCCCAGGCAGTAATTCTTTTCCCCTCCCGGAGGAACTAAAACAATGATCTACTTCCATAAAACAGAGTATTTTCATACTGCTGATTGTTTTCCTTAAGTGTTAGGTATGTTCAGACTTCTCTAGACCACTGCCAGAGATAGAAGCTGCCTTCTGGAGCCCCCCAACATGATCTACCTACTCAGGGTCAGCGGCAAAGGTTTACTTCAGGAGAAAAGGACACCACAACATCGTATGAAAGCGTGCGGTACTGCTGTTTCCGCAATTCTCCAGCCCTAACGCAGTGTTATGCAATTTGTCAGTGGGCAACTCTGCAACAAAATTTCCATAACTGCATGCTAACAGAAGTCGAACAGGAGAACCGTGGCAGGTAACACTGAATTTGTTTTTGACACTATCAATAACACAGCTCAACACCCTACACTCACAGGAATATATATTGGGCCATTGAGAGGAGCATTATTGGTATGAGACACCACGCCACCGTTTGCAAAAATTCAATACTGAGTGTCTCGTCTTAGCACAAATTCATTACTCTCACCT